AGAGCCTGTAGAATATTAAGCGGAGATGCAGTTTCTATATTTTGTATAAGAGTCGTTACTTCAAAATTAAAACTTTCAATTTCACTTGTGAATTCGTACTTTTTTAAATCTTTGCTATATTTAATAGCGAGATCTGCAGCTGATTTTTTTAAAATCAGCAACACTCATGTATTGTAAAGACGAGCCACAGAGAAAGCAAAAATTGTCACAGATAGTTTTCATTTTTTCATAACGCCAATCTATTTGACACAATAGTGTGTCAAGAACACTGTAAATTTGTATTTTAAATAATTTTTCGGGTGTCAAGTTACTTCCTTCATTTGGTCTTTTATCTATTTCCATTATCTTAACTTTTTTTTTTTCATTTATTAAGAAATCCCTTTTTTATACTTTTTGGTTTGTTTTAAGAATATGATCAATAATAGCATCTGTTAATATTGTTGGCCATAAAGCTATATTATTTATTACTTCCATGTATCTATATATATCAAAGTGTTTTTCTGGACTATTTCTATCTTCTGCATTTTTGCAATCCCTTTTTACAGTAGCATTTTAAAGACTGTGGGAGCTCCTTCGGGGCCCTACGTGCCCGCATAGTTCGCTTACCGCTTAATCCGCTGTTCAGGTATACACCACATATGCGTACCACTATAAAGCAAAAAATGATGTCAATTTCTGCAGCCTTTTACAACCTCGAGACTAAGATTTTATTTGGGAGTTACTGTTTTCAATTTAGTAATTTAAAAAAAAATCCTCAGACAGATTTATTTTTGTTACAAAATTTTACCTTTACAGATTTCTAGCTCTGCACACTGTAGAAAAATCTCGTAGAAAAATAATATTCATAGTTGCCAGAGAGCTCTATAAGGTAGAGAAAAATCTGTAAATTTAAAAACTATAAACATAAATTTCTCAAAAAATAAATTAAAAAATCTCAAAAGTCGCTACTTTTGACTGATTTGTCTGAGGTCTCCGCTACCTCACTATGTCCTTCTAAAAGTCGCATCAGTTGGGAACACTGGTGAGCAGACATCTAGGGTCTAAGTAAGGTGAAATGTAATTGCCAAACAGCGCTGTAGAAAGGCGGAAAAATTTAAAATTTAAAAATATAATTTCTTGTGAACAGCAGTTTGGGCCCCCCTTCCAAGTGGGCCCTGTACGGGTGCACCTGTTGCACCTGCCTAGTTACGGCTTTGCTTGTAAGACAATGAAGTCTAGATTTAGACTAGTTTAGATTAGATTCTAGTCATGCATAAGTAAAATAAAGGTCATCATGTATAGAATTTAAATTTGTTTTATGCAGTGAAAAATTTGAGTTTATAAATTTTCTTCAGTAGTAGTAATTATTTCATTAATTTTAAATTATATATATAAAATTATTATTAAAAAAAAATATATATATATACAAGGGCTGTTTTTTTTTCAAGCTTCAATGGTCTATAAAACAAAGACAAGTGTGTAAATAACAAAATGAATTTATTACCAAAAGTTAGGTATAAACATGGCTACTTTTCAACATAATCACTGTGAAGATTGAGGAATTTGTCATATCTGTGGATGAGTTTTTCCATCCCCTTGTCATAGAACAGGGGTGACCAACCTTTTCAGAAGGCGGGCCAAATTTTAGAAATAATATTTCCTGCCAGGCCACGCACCTAATTTTTTTTTATTTTTTAATTAAAGTAAACAAGCAAGCGTGCTACAGCTTCAACCACATCGTCGCTTCCCAGTAGGTGGGATCGTGGTCAAACACTTGCATGGTTTAATGTAAAAAAAACACAAAAAATAGGTATATTTATTTTTTTGAAGAAAATAAAACATAACCGAGAATCAAACATATTTATTAGACAATTTAAAAATATTTAAAAGTGAGACATTTGAGTTTGTTTTACAGAACTAAGTGCATCAAAATTGATCTCCACTGATGTCGCTACACGCAAACAGTTTTCCAAATGAACATCAGTAATTCGATCTCACTTGTGATTTGATGTACTTCATGCAATTAAAAAGCTGTTCACACTTATAAGTGTTTCCACATAGTGAAACCATCGACAGAGCATGTTTGTAAAATGCAGGATATTTATCCTTGTCCAAATACATTTCATAGAACTCTTCCAAACCAACTTGATGAAATTTCTCCATTTTAGGGTTTGTTTACTTATAGAATCGATATGGTAGACAGGCTACTTAGTTAAAGTAGTTTGAACTGTAATTATAAATATGTTAAATATGTATTTTAACGTCAATTGCAAAATCTTTCCAGATGCATTGGTGGTGATAAAACAAAACTACAGAATAACACGGAATTTTGTCAAGCTGGACTGAAAGTAGTTATGAGTATGAGCCCGATAGCATTGCGAGCTTCCCGAAAACGCCGAATACCACAGAACATATATAGATGAAGTTAAAGTTTCATATTAAATTTTATCAACACCTAGTGTCGGACAAAAAACTAAGTAACCTTGAGTGTCAAATAGCGGGATATTTGAAATAGCCAAAAATCTATGAATTTTTCCAAAAATGAGAAATATTTCAAATTTCTCTTAGCTATAATTTAAAAATACACAATACGAATAACTCATGACATAATGTTCTTTTGGTGATATGTACAATAAAGTTAACATTTACGTTCATTTGACCTAGCTCCGTGGGCCACAACATGACTCCAGGCGGGCCGCATGCCTCGTATTGGCCACCCCTGTCATAGAATGTTGCCGCCAGTGAATTGATATGGCCTTAACAACATTGTTTTGAAAATTGTAATTAGTTCATTAGTCTCAAACTTCTGCCCTGCTAAACACGTTTTCACTTCAGGAAAGAGGTGGAAGTCTTCACATATTAAAAAATTTTAAGCTAGGTGGAAGTCATCACCACCTTTAAACATCCAGCATATAGCCCCAATTTAGTGCCTAGTGACTTCCATATCTTTTCTGAACAGAAAAAGTAGGTAGGAGGGCAGAGGTTCAAGATTAATGACAATCTTCAAAATTGTTAGGTTTCATCTCAAGTCATTGGAGGCAACATTCTGTGACAAGGGGATGGAAAAACTCATCCACAGATGTGACAAATACCTCAACCTTCACATGTTGAAAAGTAACCATGTTTGTACCTAACTTTTGGTAATAAATTCATTTTGTTATTTACACTTGTTTTTTTTTATGGACCATCTGAGCTTGAAAAAAAAACAGCCTAAATATTTATATATATATTTTTAATGTTTTAAAATAGAGATGGTGCAACCTGTGCCTGAGTATATTGAATTTCCCAAAGAAGAAGAAAAAGTACTTCAGTTTTGGAAAGATGTTGATGCCTTTAAAACAAGTTTAAAACTATCAAAAGGAAGACCAAGGTAAATTATTTTTTAATATATTCAAATACAAATTTATATATTTATATTTATGTATGATTTATGAGAATTAGTGGAGGGATACACAACTGTTAAATACAAAATGCAATAATTGAATCTGGTGTTATTTTCCTCCTTCAGTTATTGTTTGCCTATATCAGTGTCTTTTTACCTTTTTTATCTTGCAGTACACTTGAACCTGTAATTAAATTTCAGCAGAAAAAATCACATGATTTAAAGTTATGTTTGTAAACATTCTATTGCCATATTACTTGTCACTTAACCTAATTATTTTTGTGTATATTTTGTCAATTAAATAAAACAGTATTGTTGTTCTGTAAAATAGCAACAGGTTACAATAAAAGTTATTTAAATTAATAATTTTCATTTACATAAGAAAAGCGATTAGCAACAATGCAGAATAGTCTTTGTATATACGTTCTTTATTTTTAGAGAATCTAATTTGTTCTTTACTTTTAGGTTTACCTTTTATGATGGTCCACCATTTGCTACTGGATTACCTCATTATGGTCATATATTAGCAGGAACCATTAAAGATATTGTTACACGATATGCTCATCAGTCTGGATATCATGTAGAAAGGCGATTTGGCTGGGATTGTCATGGCTTACCTGTTGTAAGTTTATTTTAATTTTTTCAGACTGAATATGTGTTAAGTAAAACAAATTTTGTCAATATCTATTATTTGAACCTAAATAATATTTTTGAATATTTACACATCAGGTTTACATATTTAATGTTTTGTAATAGAAATAAGCATCTGTATAAAATTAAATAATTTTTATAAGGGTCATAACTTATTGTATAATTGTACTATTCATTTTTTTAAAAATAAATTTATGAAGATAATATATATGAAATAACCAAACATAACACTGCTACATTCTTTCTAGACTATTTTTGTGCTTGGTGTTGTACAAACATAATCTGTATGGTTATATAGTTATAAATTATATACAGTATGTCTGGAAAGAATATCGAGTTTTCACATTGTACTTATTAATATATAAATAGTCTACAATAGTTTAATCAGTAGTCACTGATCACATATTGTACAACCAATTTAGCTGAAACCATTGATGCAAGTAGATATGTGCAAACTAAACCACTCTATTTGTAAAATAGGGTTGTGCTTTTTCTGATATGGAAGGGAATATTTAAGTGGCATAAATTTCCACAATATTATTTTAATGGATTTCTCTCTCAATCTGAGCATCATAAATTTATATAATGAAATATTTGTTTATAAACAATTGGAGCTTTAGAAGTATAGCAGATAAGTTATTTTTCTTAGTAAAATTGCTTTACCTTTAAAAAACATTTTCATTGTCATTGGTTTTAGAATCAGTAGATGAGTTGCATTCACTTTCACTGTTGTTCAAGGCAAAAATTAGTGAAACATACACTTCTTCAATTGCAACATCTTTTTCCCAATAAGCTTTCTCTAATACTACATGTACACAGTTTATACAAATATAATAAATGATTACAAACAATATTGTGCATTAACACAGTATTTAGTCAGAGTTTCCCAAATGAAAGAAAAGAGAACAACAAAAATAAAGAAAAAAAAACCATGCAGACAATCTCTAGCAGATGACAACTCTGCTGGTGCAAGTAGAGTTGTCATCTGCTAGAGATTGTCTGCATGGAATCTTGGAAAAAAATAAATAATTAGTAATCAATAAGATGACTAACATGTCAAATTAATATATAATAACAAAAACAAAGACACTGAGTTCAGTGTTACGTGCGTTTCTTTATCGCAAGCACTTTCAACGAACTTATAGTCATCGTCCTCAGGCAAATACAGAAATTTACCAAAAAATTTTAAACAAAAATAATCGAATGCAGAATAGAATGCATGAGATAATTTGAAATTATGTTAAAGCCGTTAAGAACACGAAGTAAATGTTTAAATATAATTCGAAAACCAAACGAGCAGATAGCTCCGTGAAGTACGAGCTTGCGCATGCGCAGAGCCATGCTCACATTACATGCATACTAGAGGCTGCTAATACTCGCTTAAACGCTTATACAGCGTGACCCATACACTAGGCAGCTCGAGCGTAGGGGTGTTGCAAGTGACCAAGGTGGTAGTGAGGAGAGATTCCCATATAAAAACAGTTTTTCGATCCTTGCAGCTCTTAAGCATAACCGCTTGGGACCATAGTGGGTTGTAACCCTGCTCAAGTACCTTTCTTGCGCGCTCGGTGGTGTGTCTTCCCCTCATAACATCGTCTTGGTGCTCATCAAGGCGGCTGGAAAGCATTCTAGTGGTGGCCCCGATATATCTTGTGTTTACTCCCGTTGCCTGATTCTCCAAAGGTACAGCATAGACCCCTCACTTCTCAAGAGTGGAAAATTTGTCTCTATCATTACAAATAAGTTTGTATAGTCTTGGGAGTGGGGTTAAAGGTAGTACAAGATTGCACTGCTTAAAGATTCTGCAGATGCGTAAAGATAGGGGTCCAAGATAAGGCAATGCTATTTGTACCTTCGAAGACTCTCTCTTGCTGCATAAAGTAGTACTTGGAAATAGTGCTTTCTTTACCTTATTGAGCACATGTGTAAATTTTGCACGCGAAAAGCTAGCAGCGCGTACCGCCAAATTGATGATATCTAACTCAACGTTTAACAGCTCCTGCGTAGATGACAGTAAATAAGCCCTTCTGACAAGGGAGGCAATGGCAGTATTAACGTATCGAGAAGGCTGAAAGGCATCTGTTGGTATAATGTGTGGAGCTATGCTAGATTTGTGATGGACTGAGAATTGTAGTCCTTCCGAAGATTTATGTATATGCAAGTCTAAGAACGCTACTTCCGCATCACTTTCTTTCTCCCAAGTGAAATTGATGGAAGGATATATACTTGCGAGTTGTTGCATAAAGATGAGGAACGACTCCTCTGTGTCTTCCCACGCTATGAGGATGTCGTCAACATAATGCAAATACAGCCTCGGGTAATGGATGGCAAGTGGGGAATTGAACGTTCTGTGCTCAATCTCTCTCATAACAAGTTCCGCTAAGATAGCAGATAAAGGGGAACCCATGGGGACCCCTTGCTTTTGTAAATAGATCTTTTGGTTGAAGCAGAAGTAATTGTGCTCGGTGACGAAGGTGAGTGCATCACGTATATTGAGCACCTGTTGGATGTTAAAGCCCTCTTTTAGAAGCAGTGAATTAGCCAGCATTACAGCCTCAAAGGTGGGCACTGAAGGATATAAAGATATTACATCCATCTTGTAGAAGGTATAGGTGTCTGGCCGTAGTGCCCCAATACTCGAAACGATGGTGGATTTAGCAACTACAGAAGAGGGAGTAACATATGGGGATCCCGGAACTATTGCGCGAAGGAATTTGGCAAGCACTTTTTCTAAATAATAGATGGGATGGGATCGTTTGTTTACCAGTGGACATAACGGCCAGTTTGTCTTATGTGTTTTTGGCTGAAAGAACAACCTTGGACACGCAATGTTGGAGGGGGGATCGAGCAACCCAGTTAGGGTTGAGGAAACACCTGGTAAGGCGATGATTCTTCTTGCTTCCTTAATACCATTGGCGTAGGGTCCTCACTCATCTCCGAAGAATGTGACTGTGTTAGAAATTCGTTGGCCCTGGTTACAAAGTCATTCTCTCTGCACAGCACAAACCTCCGGTCCTTGTCAGAGACTAGGAGTCCCAAGTTGGCTTTGGCAAGGAAGTGTTCTACCACTCGATGGTCCACAAAACCATTGGGCTTTCCGGAACTTTGTTTTGCCGTAGCAAGCTTCGTAATTAAAGACAATTCCATTTGCGAACATGTAGGGTCCTTCTGGCAGAACTTGAGTGCTGCTAACGTAGCCGGGATCAACTGGGAAAGGTTGGTGTTGGTAGGCGGAATGTACTTAGGTCCCCGTTGTAGAATTTTATGCACTGTGTTGGGCACTTTTTCATCTGTATAATTATAATATGGGATATTCACCTCCACTTTTCTTTGATTGTGCAATGAACGTGCTAACCACTGGAGCTTGTTGTTCAATTTCTTTTCTAACTTCTGGGCAAAATAGGATACTATACTTTGTATTTTGCCTAACTGCTCGTAGAGTAAAGCTGGATCACAAGCTTTGGTGAACTGCAGGTGTGTTGCATAGAGGCTGAGCTTCGCCTCTGCAAGGTACTTTCGTTTGTTCCTAATCAGCTTTGTGAGAAGAGACTTTTCCACACTTGGAAGAAACCGTCGTAGACACGGTGGAAATGCCTTGTACTTAAACGAAACAGACTTTGGTACAATCTTTTGCGTTCTTTACAATCTTTTGCGAAAGGTTGTACCAGAACGCAAAACAGGGTTACAACCCGCTATGGTCCCAAGCGGTTATGCTTAAGAGCTGCAAGGATTGAAAAACTGTTTTTATATGGGAATCTCTCCTCACTACCACCTTTGACACTTGCAACACCCCTACTCTCGAGCTGCCTAGTGTATGGGTCACGCTGTATAAGCGTTTAAGCGAGTATTAGCAGCCTCTAGTATGCATGTAACGTGAGCATGGCTCTGCGCATGCGCCAGCTTGCACTTCACGGAGCTATCTGCTCATTCGGTTTTCGAATTATGTTTAAACATTTACTTCATGTTCTTAACGGCTTTAACATAATTTCAAATTATCTTATGCGTTCTATTCTGCATTCGATTATTTTTGTTTAAAATTTTTTGGTAAATTTCTGTATTCGCCTGAGGACGATGACTATAAGTTCGTTGAAAGTGCTTGCGATAAAGAAATGCACGTAACGCTGAACTCAGTGTCTTTGTTTTTGTTATTAAATAAATAATTAATTAATTAAAATAAATAAATTAATAATCTTTTTGCAAAAAAAAAAAAAAATTGAAATTACAAGCAACAAACTCTGACTTTCAACTGCCAGTGACAGATGGAGTCATTGGGAAATTTCCAGAGACATCAATCAGTCCTTATATTACTGACACCTATCTTTATATTTCTCACTCTGTTTGAACAAGTCCAATATGCCCATGTTTATTGTCTCTCCTGGGTAAATCCAAGAGAGTTTGCAAAATGCCAGCAATAGGTACTTGTAAGCCAGCTGAATTATTGATAATGTTTGCACAAAAATTCTTTGTGCTTATATTTTGAAAACAAAATTGCTGAGATGTTCTATTGTTTTTGACCACTGTTCATTGCTTTATGATATTCTTAGTTCTTAACTTTGCTTAGTTGGTGTTTCTATGATAATCTTACATTATAAAATTTGAATCTAAAAACACAATTATATAAAATTTAATTATTGTATTTAGTGTGGTTTGTATAAAGTGGTGATAAAATTTTACTTTATCTTATTGGCTACAAATGACTACTCTGATTGGCTATCATTACAGTCTTATTCTGTAATGTAAGTTTAATATCAGGAGACTATGCTTATAATTATAACATTATGATTATTCATAAGACTACAATAAAGCATTTTATAATAAAAAAAATAGCAACTGTGCAAACTTGCTAATGTTCAGTTTGAACTTGTTAATATATTTATTCAGTTTGCAAGAAATGATTTAAATTCTGCTGCAATTCTATCTTTTATTATAGACACTTCATAAAACTAATTAAAAATTAATTTTGATTAATAA